CACGAGCAAAGTAAAGAGCATCAGCTTACATAATCAGTCAAATAAAATTATGGGCATACAAGGTCAATAAAATCGGAGAGTGTTAGGACATGGACCTCAAGACAAAAACTAACAGAGCAAAACGAAAATTCATCCAAAAGCTCAAATCGTCACAAATTCATGTTTCACTCGATTCTTAATTTTCACCTTTTCGAACTTGTTAATTTCAGGCGAAGACAAATTCAATAAAATGAAGAGTGTCCATTGACTGTCATTAATCAGTGAAATTCCGAAATAGTAACCGATTACTTATTCAATTTCAGCAACTAGGCTTGACATAATTACTGGAAGAAATACATCCATTCGATAGTCACATATCAATGGATCCACAGGATCACACCAAGCAGTAACACCACATATGTATGAGATCAAAAGGAAATAATAGATAGGAAAGGGGATGGACCTTAAATAGAATTTATTATTCAAAAACTCGGGCTGTTTTGAAGCTCACAAGCAATAAGATCATGAACAGAAACTCAGCAGGCAACGGACTGATCGAACTTCGTCGGAGTAACTCGTATCACGCCGACGGACTCGAACTCTGATCAACCTCAATCGAACCCCGTAATTTTTGAAACGAAAAATAAATCAAAATGACCCAAAAGAAACGAAGCAGCCGTAGCAGCAACAAAATCGAACAAAACGGCAACTAGACTTCGAACATAAACCAGACTGAATTTGCTCAGCGCGAATGGAAACAATGACTCTGAATCTCGATGGCAACTAGTGAACGGCAACGAATCCGAATCTACTTTGTTTTGGAGAGGTTGGTGAGTTGAGTGAGGATGGCTGATTTTTCAAAGGGAGAAGGGAATCTGTTCACTACATCCGAAAATCATCAGAAAATGGGATCGTCACCTCTGTCCCTTCGCACTCTGTTTTTCATTCTATCCTCTCACTGTTCATTCACTCTCTATACATGTATGCGTATTTTCGGGCGAATTTCAGTGGAAAAGGGCTGGGGTGCAACGGATTTGAGAGGAAGGAGTTGGGGTGGCTGCTATTGGTTCTCTAATGGTGATGAAGAAGAGGAACGTTGGGGGTCTCTGTTTGTGCCTTCGCCCTGAAGAAGATGAAGGGCAGGGGTCCTCTTTTGTTCTCTTCTGCGGCTGATAGCCAAAGTGTATATACCTTCTATTGTGTATATCCAGCCGATAGCTCTTAGGTCTAGGGGTCTTTATATAGTTTTATTAGGGTTTTAGGGTATTGGGCATGGTTGTTATGGGCTAGGTCCAAAGATTAGGCCTAAAAATGGATTATTTGAGCCCAAATTTTATTTTTTCTCCGTGAACAAGACTAAAATACTACCTTATTTACTAATTAATCCTACTTAAATAAATAAGACTGACCGTTAAAACAAACCTATTTTTTGGTATTTTTTCAAATATCATACTAAAAGATAAAAAATGGAATTAGATTAAAATTATCGCAAAAAATTAAAATAATATTCCTAAAAACAAAGTGGAACTATTTTTGTATTTTTTTTGAATTTTATGTAAAGTAGATAAATTAAAAGTAACTAGATAAAATGTTAATTAGCTAAATAAAGAAAATATTTTTGTAATTTTCATTTTTGTGACGAAATAAAGTAAAAGAGTCAAAATTAGTTGAAATAGCGATATTAGGCCTAAACTAAATATCTACATGCTAAAATGTGAAAAATCTTGGGGAGAGTAAAAAATCACATGTCTACAACCTATACCCATTTTTTTAAAAATTTTAACTTGTACCCACTTTTTAAACAACTTCAGCCCCCTTTCTCCTCATCCTCCTTCTCCTCCTCAAAGTTATATCCGCCCTCAATCCGATAGGCCACTTAACATTGTGCGGTTTACACAGACTTTTCGAGTGGTCGTTGTTCAATGCCATTTCTTTAATGCTCTTTTATTGCTATTCTTCTTTTGAATCTTGATTATGTTAATAATATATTTCATCTTCATGTACCTCTAAATCTCAGAAACTTATACCCCCCAGTTTGCTAATATTTGGTGGTGAGACTTTCCCTTAATTCTGGTAACTAATTCTAAAGATCTTTGCTTTCATTATACATAGGAATGTAAAAACAAAAATGACTGTTCTGTTTCCTTGCAGAAGATTTTGAGATGGGATTCATAAGCACAATATTGGGATTCTTCGAATTCGGAATGGGGATCGTGATAGGGCTAGCGATCGGAGCTGAAGTTCGCCAGTTACAAAATAAAAACTTCAGCTCTAGAGCTGAAGTTCGCCAGTTACAAAAACAAAAATTTCAGCTCTAGAGCTGAATTTTCTCATACTAATTTCTACTCTACCTTCCCAGAGTTCATTCTCCGGGGAACTCCATTTAAATTATTCTGGTGGACTCTTTCCAATCTACTTCCTTTATGATTTCGTTCGAAATCATATAAAGACAATTCTATTTGATATAGCTATTTGTGCAAGTATTTTACGGTTAAGAAGCAATTGTCTCTTGTACAGATCGTGTATTAATCTACTATAGCTATAGGATACTCCCCTTTCGCGAATTACTGCGTTTATCCGAGTGATCCACAAACGACGAAAATCTCTCTTTTTCCTATCCCTATCCCGATGAGCCGAAACTAAAGCTAATTACAAAACAAAACTTCAGCTCTAGAGCTGAAGTTCGCCAGTTACAAAAACAAAAACTTCAGCTCTAGAGCTGAAGTTCGCCAGTTACAAAAACAAAAACGTCAGCTCTAGAGCTGAAGTTCGCATTACATAAACAAAAACTTCAGCTCTAGAGCTGAAGTTCGCCAGTTACAAAACAAAAACTTAAGTTCGCCAGTTACAAAAATAAAAACTTCAGCAATTACAAACAAAAACTTCAGAAAATAGAGAACAAAACTTCAGCTACTATGCTTAAGTTCAGCAATTACAAACAAAAACTTCAGCACGCTTGGTTCAGCACACTTGGTTCAGCACACTTGCTACTTCAGTCCCGTCTACTAGAATGCTGAAGTTTTGCGTGACTGCCTTTACTACTTCAGCCCCGTATGCTGAAGTTGCGCGAAAAAGTGGGTACGCTTGCAATTTCTTTGCAAAGCAGGCACAAGTTAAAACGTGACCCAAAAAGCGGGTATAGATGCAAATGCCCCATTCCATTCTTATCACCACCAGTCCACCACCTACCGACCCTTTAATTATCTTTCTCCTACGTCAAATTGACGTCTTCTATGGACTACACCTCCTCAGTTCACAACCACTTTACAAGACAATAGAAATTTCCTTTTCCATCTTACTTAGTGGGCGTTTGCACATAAGAATGGTAAAATTCTAGAAAAAAATAAAAAAGACTTTCAAGTGAAAATGATATTTGAAAATCAGAGTTGTATTTCGATATGAATATAATTTTGTGTTGTTTTTAAATTGTTGTTAGTGATCTGAGTTTAAAAAATAAAAAATAGTTTTTTGGAGTTTTTTAAATTTTTGAAAATTTTTAAATTCATCTTGAAGTGAAAATTGAAAATTTTATAATTAGAGTTGTATTTCGATTTGAATATAATTTTGGGTTGTTTTTAAATTTTTGTTAGTGATCTGAGTTTAAAAAAACAGTTTTTTGGAGTTTTTCAAATTTTCGAAAAATTTTAAATTCATCTTGAAGTGAAAATTGAAAATTTTATGACCAAACACTGATTTCGGAAAAAAAGTAAATTGTTTCGAAAAAAAGTGAAAAAAATTTCATTGCCAAACGGGCTCTTAGTCCTTTTACCTTCATATTTCACGTGCTTGATAAAATTCTTTCAATTTCAGGTTGAATTTCCCTTTGTAGCTTTACAGTATTAATCATATTTTGTTAAAATGTTATTTCAACTTTTTCGTTAATATATCTCTTATAATCTTATTTGAGATGGGAAGTTCAATACTTCCAAGCTGCTATTTTGAGGACAAGTCAATATAGACAATACTACTCTTGTCCTAGAAGATAAGGATCGTTTACTTTGATAATGATACGTGAATCTCATGTTCAACTTTGATTTGTAGTATTATGATAAGCTTTGATTATCATAAGTTTGGCAACTTTCACTTCATATGTTACCCTACCTTTTTTTGTTTCGGTACGAATTTACGTATGTTTGAAAACTCATTAATCTTAAATGTTACTTTTTCTGATCCACAATAAGTGACCAATTTGCTTTGGACATACCCATTAAGAAAATACTAAATTCTAGACAAAAATAGTTAGTGTGGCTAAACTACCCTTAATTAAATATCGCAGCATAGTTGATGTGAGGAGTAAAAGACTTTTTAGGGATACTTACATAAAGGTAATTTTAGAAAAATAAATTGAATTTTTGCTTGATTATATAAATAGATACTTATTTTGAACCAAAATAAAAAAGTTAATTGGCTTCTTATTGTGGACCAGAGGGAGTATTAAATACCACTATATAGTAATTTTAATTTTGATATATTATATATGTCAAAAGTTATCTCAATTTCATGAACAATTAAATACAATTATATAATTATACGAATTAAAGGAAAAATATAAAATATAAAAATGAAAAATAAAAGGAAGCAAATGATAATGATACGAGCATGTGCTTGGCAGTGCCTATCCATTTGGTACATTATTTGATTTAAAGGGCTGAATAGTTACTCTGCTTATACCCTATTTGGCCAAGCTTTGTTTTGGCCAAAAGTATTTTTTTTTGGGGCCAAAAGCACTTTTGGCCAAAAATTGAGGTGTTTGGCCAAGCTTTTGGAAGAAAAAAAAATGCTTTTGAGGAAAAGCAGAAGCAGTTTTAGAGAAGCAGAAAAAAGTAGTTTCTCTCCAAAAGCACTTTTTTGAGAAGCACTTTTGAGAAAAATACACTTAGAAGTAGTTTTTTAAAGCTTGGTCAAACACTAATTGCTGCTCAGAAGTGTTTTTCAAACTAATTAATTGATACTTTTGAGAAAAGCACTTCTGAAAAAAAGCACTTATCAAAATAAGCTGATTTTTGCAGCTTATACCCTTGTTCTTTCCCATTCTTTGTCTGTTCTCTCAGCTCTCCAATCATTTGACTCACTGTTCACACTTGAAACAACCTTATTTATCTCAAGTCTTGAGCGTTATTAGCGTCAATCTGAACCTTTCAGCTCAGAGTTTGCTCATGTGAAGAATTATTTACCATGTCTTTTGACGTCTCATCCATTGTAGCCAGGTATATTTTGGTCCAAGATTCTTCTTTTCTTCTTCGACAGAAGGTTTATTCATTATTGGCATGTAACTTAGCTCGAATTAGAGTGAGGGGTGATTCATATTCTGCTTTTCTCCGTTGTTGTTTGTCTCTCTTTAGTGGTTAGCTAGCTAGCAAAGCTCATTGAAGACAACAGCTTTGCTCAATAAGCTTTGTTGTCATAGAAATTGGACCAAAATTATGCTAATTAATAGTTCTGTTTCTCCTCCCAACTCCAGTTTTTACTTCTATTTCATGAAAGTTTTCAATAGAGTGCCAGGTTATGGAGAGAGATACTAGAGCCTTGACCTGAATCTCTATCGCCAAATAAATTGTGAAGGGACAAAATGATCAATGTTGACCTTCATGCTATAAATTAGAAGTAGGGATTTGAAGACCATTAGTCCTTAGAGAGTACTAAGTGTTACTAAGACTTTGCAATTTAGCTGCTCGTTAGCACATTATTCTGTACTTCACTAAAGATACAGCGGCGGATTCAGAAAGAGAAAGAGACATCAGTCTCAGTGGAACCAAACTCTCGAACCCGTCCAGAAGTTGAGTATGCAACTTGCGATTTAATCGCTTAAAAAAAATTTAGCCACAAAGATACCGGTTAAAGAGTGTTCTAACATGGGGGTGACACCATATAATTACCTTAAAAGCCTCCGATCCTTTGTAGGAACTACCCATAATAACGAACTTGCGAAATGGATCTGCTTATCGTAAAGAGATTCGCCGTTCCTGACCTTGGTTCACCTTACTTGTTATTGGAACAATTTAGACGTTGTGGGATCTGAAGCATGGGTTGTGAAATGTATATCTAGTTCTATTTATGTGACAGGCAAGCCCATGACACATATTACCCCCTTTGGCCCAACAAACATGATGGTTTTCCCTTGGACTATGCCATCATCGAGCCCAAAAGCCAGCGTACCATGGGAACTAGTGCTATGCCTAATTAAGTTCTTCATTTTTCTCTTCCATTCCGATATGAGATTCGCGTAAGGTTTAGTATGCACCCTTTCTTCAGAAGCTCGCCGGTCTAGAAGCGTATTAGTCCTTCTCTTTACCCGCCCTAGTCGGCCCACCTTTGTCATGGGCGTCACAATCTATACTTATTTTTTGCACATCTATATGGTTCGATCCCAAAATTCCGGTCTCTGGTTTATACCAATGCATACCTGCATTTGGATCCGCTAATGCCTAAGAACATGGATTCCTTTTTCCGAGGATCATAGATTATGATTCATATGTGGCGTGTAGATGGGAACAGAGTGCAGTTTCTCTTTAGCTGATACAAACTTGAAAATGTAGTTCTTCTATTGACTAAATTATAGTTAATAGTTGTAAGTGTAGAAGATAGTTGTAAAGGAAATATGCTTGTGGTGTCATAATAATGAAGCTTTCCTCTAACATTCTCCAAAGCCTTGCCAAATATGATATCGGCTTGATACTTCTGTGGCATTCTTTCCTCATGTCTGAAACAAAAAGAAATTAAGGAAATGGTGATACTTGAACCATGATACTATACTGATGTCACGTGCCTCTTCTTTTCTGTTACTAGGTACCTGAATTCTTGCAAGCTGCATGAGGTGATACCCAATGCAGCTCTTCTATCAGAGCTTTATAAGGTAGTCATTTCTTTAATTTTTAGTTACTCTTCTCTAACGAAGGAAAACAAAAAACTGTAATTTAACCAATCAAATTTGCTTTATTCTAGTCCTTTTTCTTTCTTAATCTGTTTTTTAGCACCTTCTGGCTGATGTAAATCGATATAGTAAGGTGATTAATTTTCTAGTAATGATATGTGAAATATTAGTGAACTGATTATTTGCGATATAATGCCGAACTTATGTCTATGTATTGAAAATTTGTTGTAATCCTTGCAACATGCAAAATCACTATGTCGTAATACTGTGAAAAACTTTTCCTGTTGTGTTAATAGTGTAAAAAGATTTTGCTTTTTGGAATCTAACTTGACATTGATCATTAAAATTCTCAACTTCTTCAGGCCAGCGTGCAGAAAAAAGCTCAACAAAGGAGGACTCTATTAGTTTCACTTGAAAAACTTGAAGATGTTGACATGTCCCCCCTCGTCGATGTATTGCTTAAAATCCATCTATTTGATGTTGATGCAGTGGATGTACTTTGCACTTCACCCTTGGCTGTGAAGCAAGAATCTGTGGTCTCCCTAGTGCGTGCAGTCAATTCAACACTCCGCACTGTTGATCTTCAGGATATGCTATTTAAAAAGGAAATCTTGTGGTATGCCTGAATGCTATTATTTTTAATTGATCATTGAATACCATCTTATTTTCCTCATCTATTTTTCTCTTACAACTGAATTTTGTTAATGTATCCATACTTATGGCATGCTAGGCACACAAACAGAGGGAAACGAATTAGACAAAGAACCTAATTTTTCCTCTATATATGGTAATTAGAAAAGGTGAGAATACCAGTTTGCTCTTATGTTCCCCTAGCCGTGACTTCTTTTTTTTTTTTTCGGTAATCAACTCTATTTTATTAATCACCAAAGAGTTAATTACAAAGCCACAGCTAAGCCAACTAAGCTAGCTATCAAAACAAAGACACAAACCCTAGCTGTGACTTTAATGTGCATAAGATGATAGATTGCATGTGTTGTTGACAATACCAAGGAATGTCATATTGTGGAAATGAGAGGTCTGTAAGTTCGCGATCATGACTTCTGTGTTGAATTTGGGCCTCTGCAGGGACCTTTTTCAGGGCGGTTTAAATTGCCAATCGCTAAAGCTGAGGTCCACTGAGATTCAAAACCTGAATATGGTTGGAAGCTTCATGCAGTTACACACCCTTAATCTTGACTTCTGTTCTTCCCTCACTAGCTTAGAGATGGATTCCTTTGCTTGCATGCCAAAATTGATGCGTCTTTCCATATGTGGAACTAGAATAGCTGATCTGTGGACAACCCGTGCTGCTTTGACACGCCTTCCTTCTTTGACAGAATTAAGGTTTCAAAACTGCATATGTTGCAAAGATACTGGGCCATGTCTTGCATCATCCAGTAAGATGACAAATCTTCCTGTTTCTGAAATAACTTAATCAGGTCATTCACGCAAGGACTTTGACAGCAACCTTAAATTATATACTCAGAAATTTGACTATAAATATTGTATGCAGATGGTGCTGGCAGTCCAGCTTCTGTTGGCAACTTATTTTCAACTTATGGGTTTAAAAGTATAAACCAGGACTCACTTGATGATTCGGCAGATTTGCAACATGAGGTCTATGGCTTTTCTTTATGCTTGCAGTTGTTGCCTAAAGTTTTTCTTGTTTTTTCTCTCTTACATTTATAGGTTTCAATCCGTGTATCAGGTTTCTTTTTGTGATTTGCATGTTCAAGAGAGAGATGATTGTCCCGAGGATATAAACTTGAAACTGAGAGACAGATCAGTTGTTTCCAAGATGTATCTTTCTTGTCATCCTTCACCAATCTGCTATGAGAAATACTACAGGGAATACATGATTGCTTCATTGCCTCATTTGGAAGTGCTAGATAACTTTCCTATAAGAAAGCTGGATAGAGAATTGGCAAATACTGTCTTCTCACAGTACTACGAGTATCTGCCGTACAAACGCCAGCGCAAAGAAAATGTTGCAAGTGTTTTGCATATGCGTGAAACAGGTAGAGGTAATGTGTACCACAGCAAATCTTCTCGCATAAAGGAGGCAGTTTCTTGTAGGAAAAGTCCATATTTCTATTCAAGGTCCCTCTGCGCAGCCAAACTTTGTTCATCTGCTTCTCCTTCCCTGCATATGCTGTCTAATATCAGCAATAATGTCAAAGAAGGAAGTGGGAACCTTCGACCAAGACAGTTTGAGTATCATCCCACTAATCCTAGTCTAATGGCTTTTGGAACTTTGGATGGGGAGGTGGTCGTCGTAAACCATGATGCTAGAAATACTTTCAGTTACGTTCCACTCTTTGGGGTGACTAATAGCATCTTAGGCCTCTGTTGGCTTAACAAGAATCCATTTAAGGTATGCTATTTTCTCAAAACTAAAATTATAGTTGCTTCATGGATCATAGTCATGTGTACCTTATGAGGTCTTAAATATAGTCTTTATGAAGAAATCTTTTGACGGCAGATAGGGCTCTGATTGTTAAATAATATGCTGCAAATTGGAAGGTTATCAGCCTGTGTTTTGAATTTGATGCAATTCTAAGTACTTAGTGTTGGTTAGTTGCCGTCCTAAAACTAGGATGACATTCATATTTTAGACAGTAGCGTGCTGCAAACCATAACATCCATCGGTCATCGTTTCATTGCATTGTAGTGTGCATTCCCACATGGTGTGACATTTCCAAACTCATATTAGACTATCCCTGCATGTTTGCTGTTCTTTGACTTTAGTCATATGTATCCTCTTCATGTCATCAGTATGTCGTGGGATGTGACTACTTTAGGATATAAGGTCAAACTAGTACAATCTAAGTTCATTAACTGTTGGTGGATAGATCCTATTTTAGGCAAAACCAGAGGGGAAGCGGTGGATTAAATACATGAAATAAATTGGGTAGCCATATTTGGTCGATGTAAGGTAACATGTGTGAACAACCTACATATCTGTCCATTTATGTTCCATTATAAGTATGTATGTTGTATGTTCGTGTTCTATCGTTTGATTTTTTGATTCTAAATCTTAACATTCTAAAGTCTTTTTAAGTACTCTTTTTCATTTTTGAAGGACCATGTAAAAACCGACTTTGTTTGTTTCTTGACATGTACATGACGACCTTAACAGGATTTTTCTGCTAAAAGGTCTGAATATCCATGCTTTATATTTCTATTAACCAAAAAACATGTAGTACTTTATTTTCCATTTTAATCTCCATCACCCCTTTTCTCGGAAACTGCTCATTATTCTCTTTGTTTTCATCTGTCAGCTCCTTGCTGGTTCTGACAATGGCTCTTTAAGATTGTATGACATCAATGACACATCGCCAAAAGCAGAGACAAGCTATAGCAGTTCCAGCCCTGCTGTTTTTGAGAAATTTGAACAGTTGACTTCACTTCATGTTAATTCAACGGATGATCAGTTTGTTACGAGTGGTTATTCAAAGAAAGTTGCCATATACGATATTTGTAGTGGCAAGCGCTTACATTTGTTCAGTGATATGCATCAAGAACCCATTAACGTGGCTAAATTTGCACATCACTCTCCAAACCTGCTTGCTACTTCATCATTTGATCGTGATGTCAAATTGTGGGATTTGAGGCAGACGCCAAATCACCCCTGTTATACAGCCTCGAGCTCAAGGGGAAACGTGATGGTTTGCTTCTCCCCAGACGACCTTTATCTACTGGTATCGGCTGTAGACAACGAGGTACCTTGATCAATGCAACATATTAAACATCTCATTTGATGATTTACCAAATTTCCTTACTATTGAAATAACAAGTTAAATGTCTGCTTTGTGGCTTCTGATTAGTTTTTAGACATTCAAAAGCAATAATTTTGGTATACAAAATCCCAACTATATGAATTCGGTATCTTTATGTGTGGCTATAACTACTAGTATGTTGTAGATGACTTCATGATTGAGGTTTATACTATCTTTATGGTACAGGTGAAACAACTTTTGTCTGTAGATGGGAGGCTGCAGACAGATTTCGGTATAGCTTCCACAGGGAGCGCTCATAATTATACACGATCATATTACATGAATGGGAGGGACTATGTTATTAGTGGAAGCAGTGATGAATCAATTGTTCGCATTTGTTGTGCTCAAACAGGGAGGCGATTGAGGGACTATTATTTGGAGGTAAAAAAAGCCCAAGAACTATTTTATCAGTTTTCTCTTTTCCAAACTCGGGGACCAAATATTTGTTGTTTTGTATAACTAAAGATGTTTCAGAATATTTGATATCTTTAATACATGAGATGTTGGCTGCCGTAGTGAGGCTTTTGCTTCGTTTCTTTATATCCAGGACAGGGCATTGGAGAGTCCAATATTGGTGCAGTCCTTGAGAAGTGATCCTTTCAGAGTAAGCTCCAATTCATGGCAGTAAATTAGCTGATCTTCATTTGCTGCCTTAGCCTCTATTTATTTCGTCACATTGTCTATGAATTGAAACTAGATTTTATTATGCAAATTCCAAGTGCCGCTCCTTGCATTTGTATGAAAGTCTGTGTCATAGGTGCATTATTCATAAACAAACATAAGGAGAAAAGAGAAGAGAAACAAAAACGGACCTCCACCCCCGATAAAAAGAAAAGTAAAGGAAAGAAAAAGAAAAAAACTAAGAAATATGATGACTATATATGTATTCTTCATTATGAAACTAAGCTTTTTCTATTTTTATTTTTATAATTTTTTGCATAAAAACAGCATTTTCACATGGCTGTCTTGGCATCCTATGTGCGGCCCAGTTCAAGACGAGACATCATTAAGGTAAGTTTCATTTTCCTTACTTTTTGTCTAATTCATATGATCATTTCTTGTCCTTTTTATTTTTTTGGGAAAAATCACCATCAGTTCTAACGCAATAACTTGGGTGTTTTGGTAGGTCAATTTGCTAGAATCAGGACAATATGGTGATAAAGATTCCATGAGCGAAGATTGTTGCAATTCTTATGGTTATGGCGGTTGAATTTTGCATCTCGCAAATTTGTGTGTACATATGTGTACGAAAGCCCAGATTTTCTGCATATGAATCTCAGTGGAAGTTTTGCTCAAGGAAAAATATGATGGTTGCTAGAACTTGTCTTCATTGGCTTTGGATCAGCTGGGTAGTTTTCTCAATTTAAACAGTCAAGATTATAATATGAAGGCAGAATAGCCTAAATGGCACTTATACTTGTACCACTTTGTCATTCCGGTCCTTGTATTCAATAAAGTTTCATCCAGATACCTGAACTCAGTTAAAACATGTATTTTAAACCCCTTTGGCGTTACGTGTTGGTCACTCGCCTGATGTGGAGAAAATATCATGTCCACATTAGATAAATCAATGCCACATCATGGATTTAATACACCTAAGGGAAAAAGTAATTGGGAAAATCAGGAAAAAACCCTCTTCTTTTTGGAGTATAAAGTTCAGAAAAGTGCACCTTTTAGATTGAAAGGAGACCAAAATAAGCATGAAAAAAAGAAAAAAAAATAGAAATATTTGCACATCGTTCCCTTCTTTCTCGTTGATGTCTCCACCCCAAAATATCTCACCGGAAATCTCAGCGGAAGAGCTCACCTTGCCAAATCTAACACCACACCAGTAACCTTTTACTTGCTCTCTTCTATCTATTGACTCAGAAACGACAAAAGAAAACTTTCATCGCCTGAGACAGCTGCTACACCACTAGCGGAGTATATCGGAAAGGGTCACCGACGACACATCGCCTCCAACTCCTCTCCACTGTTCTTACTTCTCTCATCTTTCATTTCTTTCTCGTCGACTGAAACAAATCCCAAGTAGAAAGCATCTATTTCCGTACCCCAAAATTTCACTGAATCAAGAAACACTTGTTGGGAATCACTGGTGGTCACCAATCAAAGGGACAGAAGAGAGAAACCTCCAATTCAGATTTCATCTCATACAAACCATCCGCACAAAATTTTAAGTCTTCTTCTCCAAAATTTTCATTTCGATTCAATTGTTTTTTCCAAATTTATGTTCAAAATTATCTATAAAGATTGTATTTTTTTTATGTATTGGTTACAGTAAGTTGAAAAAGATTTAGAATTTTGGTTGCTGAAAAGGGAGAAGAAGACATATATTGTTTTTAACCATTGAACAATCCCCCAAAATTTCAAGTGTGAAGATGAAGTGTGGCTAAGAATTCCCCTTTTGGATTTACTAAGCGCAAAAGCAAATAAATAGATATTCATAAGGCCAGGGAAAACGGGGTTATGATAGGAAATAGGGGGGAGAAGAAGACGGGGAGAAACGGGGTGAAATAAGGCCGAAGGTTGGGAAACGAGTAGAGATACTTGGATTGGAAAATTAATTTACTCTTTTTCTTTTTAATAGTTATTCTTTATTATTTTTAATATTTTTATATCAAAATAAGTATATCCTTTCTCCTTTTTAGAGCGTGTAACCACGCATTTTTCTGACTCAGCCAAATGAATGACACATAAGCTCAGTCAATGGTCAGAGGGGTTTAAAATACATGCTTTAACTGAGTTCAGGTGTCTGGATGAAACATTATTGAATACAAGGACCGGGATGACAAAGTGGCACAAGTATAGGTGTCATTTAGGCTATTCTGCCTAATATGAAAGTTGTTGAGAATATAAGTTGTTGTGTATTAGTTGGCTAGTTAGTTAATACAATGGCTATTTATGTAATTCTAGTTAGTTAGTGAAATCGGTTAGAAGCTCCTGAGAAGCTAAGTCACAATCATCTCTTGTTTTTGAACTCAAATGACAATTCCGGAGCAATCCCGATCTCGTTGCAACTTCGAGGTCCAGAAAACTACTTGGTGTGGAGTCGAGCAATGAGAATTGCTATTTTAGGGCGGAACAAGTTAGGGTTCATCGAGGGTATTTGTAGGCGAGGAAACTTTGGTCCAAATCTGGTAACGCCATAGTGCTGTCATGGATAATGAACTGTGTATTGCCTGAATTGCTTAGTGGAATTGTTTACTCCTCAAATGCGAGTGCGGTATGGAATGACCTAAAAGAGAGGTTTGATAAGGCTGATCTCTAGAATTTTTCAGATCCATAAGAACATTGCTACAATTAATCAAGGTACTAGCTCGATCTCTTCCTATTTCTCAAAATTGAGACTGCTGTTGGCGGAGTTTGATAGTCTAGCCCCAATTCCTGGATGTGACTGTGAGAAATCGCGTGAATTTGTTGTGTTTTTGGAAAGGATGAAACTCCTACAGTTCCTTATGGGGCTAAACGAGTCTCATGAGCAAGCTAGAAGTCAATTGATCATGATGATACCAGCTCCCTCTGTTAACAAGGCTTACTTTATGATGATGGAGAGTGAAAGCCAGAGGGCAATTGAACACACAGGTGTTCCTGTAGAGAATCCTGACCTCACTGCTTTTGTGTCTACTAGAGGTGGATTTTAGCAAAGGCCAAAGAAAAATTTTAACCTAGTCTGTGACTACTGCAACTACAAAGGACATACCAGAGAGAATTGTTTCAGATTAGTTGGCTATACAGCTGATTTTAAGCATAAGAAGAAAGGAAATTCATTTCCTACAGCCAACTTTGCAGGAAACACTGGTGATCAGGAACACTAATGTCTACTAATGAAAGTCATGATGTATTTTCAGCAGCTAATTTTGCAGGTAATAATAGTGGAGGAAACCATGGGGAAAGGAGTCAACCTCAGTCTCACCCAGCAACACCACTTCCCTCAGCACCATACTTTACTCTAGAATAGTATCAGCAAATCCTACATATGCTTGGTAAGGTAAATGAAGAAGCAACAAGCTCTACTCAACCAGCAGCAGCAGGTATATTTGCATTCCTATCCAGTATAGTTGATGATATGTGGATAATTGATACTGGAGCTACAAGTCATATGGTAGGAAATTCTAAGTTGTTGACTAAATTGGACAAGGAGTCTAGTTTAAAAGGTGGAAATGTGTATCTTCCAAATGGTAATGTGGTGTCAATATCAAATACAGGAACATCTAGTATACTCAGAAATCATGATCTACACAATGTGTTGCACATTCCTGACTTCAAGTTTAACCTTTTGTCTATGTCAAAGTTGACAAAGGAACTGAAGTATTGTGTGGCATTCTTTCCTGATTTTTGCCTATTCCAGGACCTCTTCAGTGGGCAGGTGAGGGGGATTGGTAGAGAAGATTGTGTGCTGTACTATCTGAAGTCATCTCCAACTCCTACAACACCACTTACTCAACCATAACTACAAGGGTCTGACAGTAAAGAAGAGTGCTACTCTGTGTCTACTAATGTGCCACTATCTGTATGGCATAATAGACTAGGGCATGCTCCTTTAGATATGCTCAGAAAAATAAAGTTTTTGAAGCATTGCAAACTAGACAAAAATCATCACTGTCCTGTATGTCCACTAGGGAAACAGTCTAGACTTTCATTTTCTATCAGCACTACTAGTTCAAATAAGCCTTTTCAGCTAGTACATGGTGATGTATGGGGTCCTTATAGAGTACCTACACATGATGGTAAGAGATATTTCCTAACATTGGTAGATGACTTTTCTAGGTATACTTGGATATTTTCTGTTGAATAATAAAGCTGAAACTTTTGTCATTGTGAGGCAGTTTCTAGCTTTAGTGAAGAATATGTGTCAACTCTAATGTTCAAACATTAAAAACAGACAATGGCTGTGAATTCTTTAACTCTCAGTTTGATGAGTTGAATAAAAATAATGGTATTGTACACCAAAGCTCTTGTGTTTATACACCTCAGCAAAATGGTGTAGTAGAGAGGAAGCACATATCTATTCTAAATGTAGCCAGGTCCTTAAGGTTTCAAGGAGCTGTGCCTCTGAAGTTTTGAGGAGAATGTGTTGCTACTTGCTGTTTATCTGCTTAACAGGTTGCCTTCTGTCATCCTACAGTATAAATCCTCTTTTGAAATGCTACATTCCCATCCTTCTAATCTTGATCATTTAAAAACCTTTGGTTGTCTTGCCTATGCATCAAACCCCAATATTACTGATAAGATGTCACCTAGAGCCATTCCTGCTGCCTTAATGGGATATTCCTTTACTCAAAAGGGTTACAAACTCTATGATCTACATGCTAAGTCATTCTTTGTGAGCAGGAATGTGGTGTTCAGAGAAGACCTATTTCCTTTTAGACACTTCACTCCTTCTACTCTTCCCCTGTTTCCAGTACTAGAATCTACATCTGATCCACCAAGAAACAATCCAAACACCACTCCTAACAATAGAACAATCTCTCAAACCATACAAGAAGACTTAGCTACAGAAAGCCCTGCACCTTTAAATCCATCCACCAATGCAGATCATTCCTTACATCCAGTCACACCTAACATCACAGTAACTGATACATCTAGCATCAGTTCAATACCTATCACTGAACCTCAACAACCTGAAACACTTAGAAAATCCTCTAGAACTGACAAACAACTTCTGTGGATGCAAGACTTTGTCACTACTAAAAAAATCCAACTGTGCCTACCCCTTGTCATCCCATATCTGCTATGAACATCTAACCCCACCTTATAAGACTGCCTTAAACTCTTATTCATCTATTGTTGAGCCTGCTAGTTACAAAGAAGCAGTTGCAGATCCAAAGTGAATTGAAGCTATGAAACTGGAAATTGCAGCACTAAAAGACAACAACACTTGGAGCGTTGTTGATATACCTGAGGAAAAGACCCCTATTGGTTGCAAATGGGTGTTCAAAGTCAAATATAAATCTTCAGGAGAAGTGGAGAGATATAAGGCAAGATTGGTAGCCAAGAGTTATAGTCAACAAACAGGGTTAGACTACAAAGAAACCTTCTCCCCAGTAGCCAAAATGGTCACTGTCAGATCAGTGGTAGCTCTGGCACCTTCAAGACATTGGTTCATCTATCAAATGGATGTTCACAATGCTTTTTTGCAAGGTGATCTTTTGGAGGAAGTTTGTATGACTATTCCAGATGGGTTTGCTAGACAGGGGGAGACCAAGCGAGTCTGCAAACTACAAAAATCACTGTATGGTCTGAAACAAGCACCAAGGCAGTGAAATCTCAAGCTGATTGAGGCACTGCAACAACTGGGATTTATTCAAAGCCATTTTGACTACTCACTTTTCACACAGCAACTAGAAGGTGACATAGTTGTGATTCTTATATATATGGATGATCTGATCATTACAGGAAGCAACAATGATTTACTAGTCAAAACTAGGGAAGATCTTTAGAAAAAGTTTAAGATGAAAGACCTAGGAGGACTAAAATTCTTCTTCGGCATTGAATTTGCCAGGTCAAACAAAGGAATACATATGTGCCAAAGAAAGTATTCCTTGGAGTTGATCTCTGAACTTGTCCTAGGAGGAGCAAAAACAGCTGGGACTCCCTTGGAGTGCAATCAGAAACTTACTTCAATTGAATATGATAGAACTTTCAACAGAGGTACAGGTCATGAGGATCCTATATTAGATGATGCTGGAGAATACCAAAGGCTTGTAGGGAGACTCTTATATTTGACCATGACTAGACCAGACATCTCATTTGGAGTACATGTGCTAAGTCAGTATATGCATGCTCCAAAACAATCTTACATGGAAACTGCCCTAAGGATTGTTAGATATCTGAAAGCATCACCAGGTCTGGGACTCCTAATGCCAGCAACAGAAACCAAACAACTACAAGCTTTCTGTGACTCAGATTCGGGCTCATGTCTACAGACTAGAAGGTTTGTCACAGGATATCTTGTAAAATTTGGAGATGCCTTGGTGTCATGGAAATCTAAGAAACAAGAGACTGTGGCTAGAAGTTCAGCTGAAGCTGAGTTCAGAAGCATGGCATCCTGTGTAGCAGAAGTTACATGGCTAATAGGGTTGTTTAAGGAACTTGGGGTTGAAGCGCAACAGCCTGTTGATTTGTTCTGTGATAGCAAAGCTGCTATCCAAATAGCTGCTAATCCTATATTCCATGAACGAACCAAACATATAGATATTGTTTTTGTAAGGGAAAAGCTAAGTCAAGGAGTAATCACAACTCATCATCTCTCAACAAAGGATCAACTAGTAGATCTACTGACCAAGAGCATTGGAAAAGCACAACATGAGGCCCTGTTAAATCAACTTGGTGTTGAGAATATATTCAAAGCATCAGCTTAAGGGGGAGTGTTGAGAATATAAGTTGTTGTGTATTAGTTGGCTAGTTAGTTAATACATTGGCTACTTATGTAATTCTAGTTAGTTAGTGAAGTTGGTTAGAAGCTGTGTATATATATGATCTACTACACACTACTGGCTGTGTATATATATGATCTACTATACACTACTGTAGCATGCAGAAGAAATGAGAATCTGTTAATTTTTCTTTCCAAGTCTTCTTCTGTTCTTATCCTCTCTTCAATCTCTCTTTTACATTGTTAAAAGTTGACAAAAGTAATTTGATATCAACTGATAAAAGAAACGCTGCATTTGCAAAGAAAGAGATATGATGGTGCTAGCACTTGTCTTCTCAAGAGGAAGAGGTAAAATGAAAAAAAGTTTTAACTTCTATAAGCACAGACAGGTAAAAGAGTTTTTGCATTATCAAGTTATCTAAAAATATATGGAATTAGTAACTCAAAAATATTAGGCTGCCTGCTACAATATAACATGTTAAAATATGGTGAAGTGCTAAAAAGAAACTACGCTGTCTGTTTATAACTTAAAAAAGGGGACAAAAGAGAAATTGAATTACTGAATCACAATCATTGTAGTTAATCAGAAATTGAAGTACTGTACCAAAGCCTCTTGAGTTTTTTGATCGGTGAAATGAGTATTAAACAAATGCAAGTGGCTCAAGACAGCCTGCGACCATTATGTGGTGTCGTAAAATATTTTTCTGCTCGTGTTAAGCACCGGCAGAGAAACAGACAACTAGGAATAAAATTTTAATCGAAATCCTTAGACCTAGCAGCTACTTCGAACCTTCTTTTACAACATTAGAAAAATTGATCCTAGGCATTTGAGACCTCGTTCGTTTGCGTCCTAAAGAGTCAGCAAAACGAAGAGGGTCAGCACACCTACTACAGCCGCCACTCTACTGTTACACAGCCTGTAATGAAACTGGACGCATTTTCTTACTACTCCTTTCGGTCCAAAATAAGTGATTTTTTGGCTTTTTTCTTGTGGTCCAAAATAAGTGATTTTTTCAGATTTCAAGAATAACAACAACAACAACAACTACCCAGTAAAATCCCACCAAGTGGGGTCTGGGGAGGGTAATGTGTACGCAGACCTTACCCCTACCCCGATAGAGGCTGTTTCCGATAGACCCTCGGCTCAGAAAGATGGAAATAAGAAAAACAAGAAAAGACAATTCATTGGTAACTCCAGTAGAAACCGTAATAGTAACAGAAGCATAACAATCAAAAGATGGATGACATGCATCTTTTGATTAATCAGATTTCAAGAATGAATTAATTATTTTTTTCCTACATTGTCCTTGGAGTAAATAGTGTTGGAATATGTGTTAGGAGTGTTTATGTGAGATAGTAAAGGTTAATATGGTCAATTCCATTGCTAATTAATTCTAAAAGGTGAATTCCTTAATCCGTGTGAAAACATCCAAAAAAAATTACTTATTTTGGACCGGAGGGAGTATCATTTTCTGAGATTCCATTTTTGCCAGTTGCCACTGCTTATCGCTACGTTACCTGACACATGGCCTCCACCTAATCACTATTATTAGCGTTGAATCCACATCACTTGCTCATTTCCTCCTTCCTACTTGTCACTTGTACTTGTACCTCTTACGGTGTCTCTATAAATACTCATTCACCCACTCTTGCCCAATGCCATTAAAATCGTAGACTTGTGTGATTGTTTGCAATTTAGTTCCAGAAGATCAGTGGTTGCCTACACTTTACTCTTCAAGATGAAGCTTGCCGTGATTGCTTTGTTAATTGTTTCACTTGTTCTGACTTCTTCTTTCCTTCAGTCAGCCGTGGCCTATGACGAACCAAGTAAGATTTGTCGCCTCACTCTCACACACACACATACAAGATGCTGACTAATTTTATTTTTGTTTCCCATTCGGTGTCCGGTACTCGCATTGGGGTCCGGTCAAATCCGGGTTCATGCCGGAAAGTTTCATATTGGGGGGTAAAACGCTCCCTAACAAAGGTGACTCCATACCCAGAGCTCGAACTCGATACCTCAAATTAAGGATGAAGGAGTACTTACCACTCCACCACAACCCTTGTTGGTCTAATTTTTAACTTATATATACTGGCATACACTGCTATTCAACTAAGGTTTAACTTATTTATATTGACGTGTAATTAATTTTTATATCATATATAAGTGTGACGTTATAATATCTTTGTAACATGTCATTTATCATCTTTTCTAAGTCATCATACCATAATCGATATAAAAATTACTTGTAATCAGCTTTCGTGTAAGTTTCGATAATAATTTACTATGATCATATAGAAGTTATTTGACTAATTAGTATTTTATGGTAAATTGGTAAATGATATGTATCTATATGGTGTAGGTTCATGCGATTCTAAGTGCGCAGTGAGGTGTGGGAAAGCAGGAATAGCAAAACGGTGCTTGACCTACTGTGGAATATGCTGCAATAAGTGCAACTGTGTCCCTTCTGGCAACTATGGTAACAAGTCGGAATGCCCTTGTTATAGAGACATGCTCAACTCCAAGGGCAAATCCAAGTGCCCATGAAATTGAATACTAGCACTATCCACTTCTTTCCACTCAATGTTCATCTCTCTTTTTGCTTTTCGATATATATGTTGCTGCCAACTAGTAATAAAAGTATTCGCATATTCTTTATTTTCCACAAATTTACATCCAAATATATCAAGCACCGGTTGGCGCTAGCTTGTAATTGTTCGTACTTGCTTTGAATATTAAATGCAGACTTGTTTCCACTTGGGCTGTTCCATTTGTGCACTTTAGTTCTGTCTATATCCAGATTTAAGAAAAAGAGAGGGAGAGAAAAGCGAACTATGATCAACTACAATGCGCTAGTTTAAAAAGAAAAAAAGATAAAAATCACCTTAATGGTGGGGGATTTGGCTGACCTCTACCTGTTCATATCATCACTTTAAGTAGTGGTTACAATGAGGTGGAAGATTGTCCTTTCCTCTGTGGAATGTTCTAAGGATGAATAATCTATATATCTATAATTGAGGGACTTTGGCCCGGTCACGTGGCACTCTCCTAAACAAGGATTTCAAATTATCTTTTTTCTCATTTTTTTCACATTTCTCCCACTTATTAATTATGTAGGAGTCCAAAGTTATGTCTCTTGAAAAAGAAATTCAAAAGTTATTACTATTAATAAACAACAGTTTCTTGGAATTTTAAAGGACCTCTCTGGCAATTATATATAGTATCTAATGTCTCATCACAATGATGAGTAATTTCTGCGTCATGTATGTTGAAAAGGCAACTGTTTTTTTCTTTTCTTCATATATTGCTTTAATAATCATTTACTCGAGTCAATTACTTGAATGATCACTCAATTATCCCAAATTATTTCCTAAAGTCATTTTTCTTTCATTTGTTACAACAAAGTCACTGAACTATGCCTATTGCACTCAGAAGGTCACTCAACTAGATTTTTCAAATTTTGGATTGCCAAATGCCTATTTTACCCTCTAAATTATTAACATTTATCTTCTTTTTATTTTTTAAAATTTTTTAGTATTAACAACAAAAATTCAAAAATTATTTACACAATTCAGAATGAAAGAAAATAAAAGTTATAAAATATATATTCTATGCACATAATATAAAAATAATTATTTAAATAAAGGTATTTTTATAAAATAAATTATATATTCTTGAAAATTATCAATTATATTGTTATGTATCTTCTAACTTTCCGACGACACAAAGTTATGTCAGCGGAAAGCAGGGGGACTATCTGTACAGGATATATGCTATGTTAAGTCGTGCATGAAATATATATAATATAATTGAGCATAATTTTTAAGAATATATAATATATATTATAAAAATACCTTTATTTAAATAATTATTTTTATATTACGTGCATGGAATATATATATATATATATATATATATTGCAACCTTTACTTTCTTTCATACTCAATTGTGTAAATAAATTTTTGAACTTTTGTTGTTAATACTAAAATTATTATTACGAACAAATTATTCTAATTAATTTTTTTACTATGCTCATTATTTTGTTATTTCAGCATTATATATGCTTAAATGCTTTTTATTTTTTTAATTTATAAATAAAATTTATTTATTCTATAGTTAAGTCCTTAATATAAATTAAAAAGGAAAAACCATAATATTAAAAAGTTTTTTAAAAAAAAAAAAGAATATAAAGGTTTATAATTTAGAGGCTAAAATAGGTATTTGGCAATCCAAAATTTGAAAATTCTAGTTGAGTGACCTTCTAAGTGCTATAGGCATAGTTAAGTGCCTTTGTTGTTACAAACGAAAGAAAAGTGACTTTAGCTGATAATTTGGGATAGTTGAGTGACCATTTGAAGTGGACTCACCATATAGCAGCCATTTAAGCATTTGGTCCCTCCGAATTTATTTTCTCACACTGACCCGACCCAATACCCAGTACCCGATCCAAAATTAAACCCTTAACATATCTTTTTTCTTCTTTCTTTCCTTTTCTTCTCCACGATCCAAACCCTCCGTCAATGACAGCCCGTTTCCATTGGTAGCTGAAACAAAGTTCCAAATAAGAAAAAGAAGAGATCTACAAAAAGTCTAATTTATGAAACATGAGCAAAGAGAACCGGCCAATTATACTTGGTTTGGATAAAGGATATTTGTTATGAATCAACCACAACCCAATAAGGATATCAACACACACATAGCTATTGGGCTGAGAAGAGCTATTGGGCCGAGAACAAGTAATATGGTCAGATTAATTTGGGATCCGGGTTGAGTAGGGAGCCCAAGAACTATTCTATTAAAAGAGTAGAAGTTAGTGATTCTTGGGATTATGCGTATTGTTGAGAACTCTTCCCCTTCGTCTCTGTTCTTCTTGCTTCTCCCTCTGGACTATCTCTTTCTGTTCTCCCTCGGCTTTCTCTATCGTTCTTCTCTGGATATCCTTCTTAGTTCTAGTTATTATTATTGTAATGATTGAATCTTTGAGTTTATGAATTAAATCCATCATTTTCCTCATTTATTGTGTGTTGTGAATTCGGGTTCATAACATTGGTGCTTTCATCGTTTGTACTCCAATAACAATGGTTGTATTAGATCAATTCAGCGGTGGATACCCAGAAGGTTGGATTTTTCGGGCAGAGCTGTACTTCACCTACCTTGGCTTCTCCGAAAAGGACTGGTTACCTCTTCCTTACCACTACCTTGATGGCGAAGCTCTTGCTTGGTTTGATTGGTTGTTTCGAAATAAGCAATTTTTTGATTGGAATCATTTTAAGGAAAAACTAAGGCTGCGTTTTTGCACCCGCACTAGAGAATTCACCTTGCGGGTGCTTAGTCATTCACCAGCTACGCAAGCCAGTGGAGGAATTTCTAGCACGAGCTGCGGTTATTCCATCATGGTGCAACATTAGCACCTCAGCCTCGCCTCAGTATTGGAATAAGCACTCGAACAACAACAACATGAACGTGGCATACGAGGTGTTCGAGGAAATGCTGGACACCTCCCAAGATGAAGCATCAGCAACTGAAACTAATATGGAAATATTACAGGAGCTCCAAGTTGGTAATATACCATTGACTGAGAAAGAGGAATTCATAGTGGAAGGCCAAGTGTTCAACAAAATGCCGCATAACTGCTGCTCTAAGGTACTTACTGATGACTTTGATTTGGATTATGGCGACTCAGAGGAAGACATGGTTCTTGCTGAAAATTTCCAAAATGATACATGTCGGTTGCCTAGTCAAATTGTCGATACGACTTCTTTTCTGATTTCTTTTGCTGCACGTGAGTATAAGGTTAAAAATAGGATTGTGATAACTACTGGAATCAATTGCCCGTTAGCAGACACCTTAGTATTTTCCAGTCCAGTACTTTCACTGGTAGAACACTCTAGTAGTTGGGCTACGGATGAAAGGGATATTGGACTGTCAAAATCTAGTTATGTGGAAAAGTGGTTTGACACAGGGCAGGAATTTATCATTGCTTCAGGGTGTACATCTCTTCTGCATATTCCTTTAAGTTCTCCATCATATGCACCTAAATTGTATAAAGCAATTAGAAAAATATGGAGTTATTTACTTGCAAAGTTGTATTATTGGGAGTTGTTTGGTGAATCTAAATTTGGTATTGAGTCCTTTGATGCCGTGTATCCTGATGGAAATTCCAAATGAACCATTGATAAGAACTATGTCTCTGCAAATGATGCAGCAACCAATTTTCTGGTACCTTTTACTAGCGGAGATGATGTAGTGCCAAAAGAGATTACGAGCCCTACTGAAATCGCAAATCCATTTGACAATGTCGCATTGCTTCACATTCACAGGAGTCCATGTTGGTGGAATATTTTTGATAAGACGTTCATGATGGCTAGTGAGGTCTCAAATATTGCGCGATATGTTCCTGACGAAATTTTGTTTGTTGGTTATGAAAAACTAGCCTGGGAAGAAGAGTTCGCGTTGATAATTAAGCAGCCATCATTATGTGATTTTCGACTTGTAATTTTGAGTTGCATACTCCTAAATGGCTATGCTACTTTACCTTATGTTACTAAGAAGACAATTTTGAGGGACGACAAACTTTCTGTGTTTGGTGATGTTATCATGGTATCATGTCTGCTTTCTGTTGATACCAGTGAGTTGGTAGTCTCACCTTCCAGTGCGAGATCTATTCGACTTGCTTATCCGTTTCCTTGTGGTGGCCGAGAGCCTGTAGTATAAACAAGTTGTTGGAACTTTCGCATTGGGTGGCCGCGATCCATGGACTGGTGGTGCACTGGTTTCAACAATGCATATGGAGAATTTCCAAACTCCGAAAAGTAAGGCATTACTACTGTTGGTATCTACTGGTAAACTTTGTTCATTCGCATCTTCTTACTCTATGATTAAAGTGTGGGATCCCGGATGACAATGGTGTGTGAATTTCTATATATGCGAAATAATTGAAAATATAATGTTTGGTTTAAAGATTAGTGATATATCGCTGAGCGCAACTAAATGTGACAATATTGATTTACAAGTGGCAGAACTTTCTTGTTTTGGATTACACTCACCAACAAATGCCTTGACATGGGTACCAGCTGAACCTTTGAGTTCATCTTCCACCATTGCAGATCTTGTGGCCACCTCGAACCAAAACCAAACGTTTGGTTCCCCATATATCTTCTGTAATACTCTTAGATATTCTATTTATTTTATATTTGCACTAGACTTGAATAGTTGTTCTTCAACCATGAACAAGATAGGGCAGCAGCATCCTAGTGCTCATGATGAACAACGAGCTAGCCAAACATCCTTATTCATTCAGCACATTAGCGTATGTATTGCTTCCAGATATATTGTCGAGATGGTTGATAAGCTTTGTGTGAAGAAGGTCAATGAGGATCCAAGCCTTGTAGAGCTTTCTCATAGCTTTATTGTGGAAACTACACAATTCCTGAGAGTAAGAGCAATTACAAGTACATGTCATCCTATTATCTCTTATAGTACCCTCATTCATGGGCTTTGCATGAATGATAATCTGGATGAGGCACTCATTTTGAAGGAAGCAATGAGATTAAATGGTAAAATGTCGAGAACTGTCATGTATAGGATGCTTATTCCGCTGAAATTTATGAAATATGATGAAGTTGAGTGTGTGTTGACAAACATATCTCAAAAAGGGCTTGTTCCAAAAGTAGTACTGTACAATACCATCCTTCCTATCCATTACTCAACAGAACATATCCTGAAGGATCTAAAGGTTACTAAGGAAAGGATACTAAGGTGTTTG